AGGGGCTGTAGCGGCGGTTCCCAGGCAGCCCTGGGCGCTGGGCTCCTGGTGTTCCTGAGGCCCCGGGGGTCCCAGGCAGGTACCTGGGCAGCGCAGGTCCTCGCAAGGCCGCTTCTCGGGAGTGCCGGACTCGCCGCTGACGTAGCACCAGGGACCGCGCGGGTCGCGATCTGGGTTCCGGCAGTAACTGTGGTTACCGGTGCCTGGGAGGGAAGACAAGGAGCCATGGGCCTGGGCCAGGCCACGGCCGCCGCCCGCCCGCCGCCCGGGACGGATACTCACCCTCCTTGGGGGCAGAGGGCAGGCTGCTTTGTGTGTCTAGCCAGTTGAGACAGCGGAGGCCCGGCGTGGGGTAGGGCCGGTGTGCCCGGTACAGGTGGCCGTTGTCCCGGAAGCAGCCTGTGAGGAAGAAGAAGAGCCCCTGGACACTGAGTGGCTAGCAGGGGAGCCCAGGTCACTCCGGCTGGGAGATCTTGGCCCCTGCTGGGCTTCTGGGCTTCCCTGCCTCCCATGGAAAACCCCGCCCATGATGAAACCTCAGTTTTTGTTGTTGTTAAGCCAGAAAGCACTGCACAAGTGCAAAAGATTGTTATTCTGGAAACCTTGGCGACCTCTGGGGGTGCAGGAGAGGGTTTGGATGTTTTGGGTCGGTGGTCAGCCAGGCCTGAAATTCATCCCTGTGTTGTAATTCCATGTTACATAAACTCTGGTGTTCCATCTCTACGGATATGGCCCCACTTCCACAGGCAACACTCTCTACCAAGAGAATTCTACAAAAGATTCAGTCAGGCAAAAGAGCCTCAGACGAAGGGAACCTGCCTAATCAGCTGCCTGAATGTGACTCCAAATTCCCACTCCCCTCAGCAGGAGAGCCACAGGAAGAGACTGGGGAAGGAGGGCCTCTGCTCAGGCCACACCACGCAAAACCCCTGAAAAGAACAGGATTCAGGGAGTAGGGGAGATGAACCCCCAAGTTCCATCCACTCGTGAGCCACAGGCAAGGAGAAGGAAAGAGAAAGTGGCTACTTGCCTTTGTTCTTAATGGCAAAGATGGAGCTGCAAGTCTCTGACAGGGAAAGAAGGGAAAAAAAAAAAAGCTTTCATGGGACAACAGAAACCAACTAAAAGCTTCGTTTCCTGTCATCTTCCTGTGTAGCTTAGCCATGCTTGGGAAATAGGGAGCTTTAATCTTTATGCTTCATAAAGTTGGCTGCAGAAAGGAAAGATTGTGCTCTTACCTCCAGATCCATAGGCTTCTGATAGAAGCATGTTGCTGACAAGGAACGTTTGCACCCAGGCCAACAGCATCCTCACCACCTTCATCCTGCAGGTGATTGACCCGTGTCCAACCGGGGTCCCCTTTGGCGGCAGCTCTGCCTCCCAGTCCCAGCCTCACAGTTAGACCTGCCCTTGTTATGCTCTTCTGGTAAACAGCCTCTCTTTAGAACTGGGAGCTTCCCAGCTAGCTTGCTGCAGCGAGGTGTTTTTCGGCTAAAAGGCGCCCCCTGGGTCCTAAGCCTCCTATGCCATGCAAGATCACTAACCCTGAGTCAAGAGGAAATCAGCCAAGTCGAGAGACAGAGAAATTCAGGTTGTGCTTAGCAGTGGATTAGTTTGAGACCTGCACTGGCTGCATGCCCAGGGGTTTTCATCTGTTCTGTTTCCATTTGTGTGAGTACAGAAAGAGTAATTCTGTTAAGAGGCAACATTGCAGGAAGGGAGTTTAGAATTATAGTCACTAAGGCTGGACAACTTAGGACAAACTACACAAGACCACGGAGTGGGATGCAAATAACAGTATCCAGGTGGGAGTAACTCTTTATACCCTTTATTGAAAAAAAAAAAGGATCTTTGTGTCTTACACATGTTTATGAACACTGACTTTCTTTTTTAACAGTATAACTTTTCCATAGTCAGATCAGTCACATTCTTTTGCTTATATTTGGAATTTGGGATGTCATATATAGTAGGAATACAGAAGGGGTCTCTTTAGTTGAAAACACATGTTATGCAAACATTGGGGCATTTGCTTGCTATATTTAATAGTCTTCCTTTCTACCAGCCTTGAATTCATATAGAAGTTAAGTTAAATGTTTGCTTCCCTCCATCCCCTGTGGGAAATCCATTGCAGTGATTTATATCCATCAGTAAACCTCACCACATCCATATGACTTAGGCCTTTTGGAGTTAGGCAGAAGGGCCCTCTTCCTGTTTGGCTGACAGTTCAAGTTCCCAGGCAGCCTCACTAAACAGAGAGCAGAGTGATTCGCCAAGACTACCTTGTGACTCAGGCAACTCTCAAAATAGAAATGGGAGACTTTCCATCTGAGGGCTTGCATCTTGCAGGCAATAATTTAAGGAGGAGGAAAATAAACTTTACTGAATAAATTTTGAAAGATCAAGGAAGAAAGCTAATGTTAATCCAACTAATCTGAAGTGAATTTGAATTCACTGTGTCAGATTTCAGGCCTGTAAAGGACAGAGATAAATTTAGTTTACTCCTTAGAGAAGTTTGCTGACAGTTTTTGACTACTTCAGTCCTTTTAATAAGGCATGTTGCTTTGTGTTTGCAGTTATTCTCCTATCTCATAAGCTTTTGGTCCTCTGACTCCTGATTGGGCCTATACTGGGAATTAACCACAGAGTGTAAATTTACTATCATACACATGTATACACAGATAGGCCAAGATTTTCAAATATAACAATCCAAACAATACTCAAGGCTCTCTTTTTTTTTAAATACTTTATTAAGTTTACAAAGTTTCTGAGAACCTACTACATTCTAGATACTGAGAATATATTTGAACAAAATATTTGAAATTTCTGCCTTAATGAAACTTATATTCTAGTTGGGAAAGACAAATGATAAAGATATAAAATGTCGAGTGGTCTTAAGTTATAAAAACGGTAAGGGAGAGTAACAGAGTGGTATTTCACTTGCTAAAGAAATCATTTTCAGGGAACTAGTAGGATATTTCTACAGGCAAAGGCTGAAGGGGAAGGGGATGTACAATTTTCCTTGCAGGTCCTAAATACTCCTACACCACTGCAAGAGATATGTGATGTGAATTTTGTTTCATTACATAAAATATATAGGCTTGAGAAAATGAGAATTCAGTTTTTTCATTTCAAAGTCGCAGGGGGATTCTTTTATATTGATCCCTCAGCACCTAATCTATTGCCTTTGTATACAGTGAGTGCTCAATTATTGCCTGATGATATGCTTCAACTTAGACTTTGAAGGGCTACTTCTGCTGGATTATAATACTTTTTTCTCTGATTACGGTAGAGACAGACTGTACACAGGCCAGCACTTGTACCATTTTCAGATTATATGCTGCCAGTATTTCTTCCTGAGAAGCTCACAGCTTCTTTGCCTGTTGCCGTTATCTAATTTTTCTATTAAAGAAACTGGTATCTTCCCTAACTTATACACCTTGGTATATAGCAAAACCACATTTTATGCCTTGTATCTTATAAGGAACAGCATTGCCTAGAAAAGATACAAGATGGCCAGAGATTTTTTTCAGCTTAGTCATCTCTGCTTTTTCTCTCCTGTACCTAATACATTTATCAGTGTGCTTTGATTTTTTTTTTTTTCCAGGAATGACTGGCTTATTGGTCCTTCAAAGGCATATTCTATTATAATAGGTTCGGTACCTTCCTTCCTCAGGGAAATCAGATTTTGTTCAGAGATCTGGCTGTCATCATCACAGATGATGTTTTGGTCTTATGATGCAGATTTGAACTTTGCTTCATGTATTGGTATTAAATGGCCATATTTTATGGCCTATAGTTTCCAAACTTGATATCTTCTAGAAATACTACTGCAATAATCATATAGCACTACTCAAATACTGATTTTAGATTGTTTATATCCCTGAAGACAATGTTGTGAAATATAATATTCATATTTTACTAAATATTTCAGAGATGTTTGACTATCGGTTTCATGTGAAATCGGTACTAATCCAGAGCTATAAAGCCATACCGTTAACTTAGGAAATAGCCTCCAGAGCACTTCCCAAGAAGATGGGCAGTTCATTTTGATAACAGGGTATGTTAGTGGAAGAACTCTAATAAGGACGCTGTAAATCTGTTAAAAGACTAAAGAATCCTTTTTGTCAGCAAAAGAGGGCCAAGGTGTTGGTAAATATGTTTGGAATAAGATCTAATGAGTTGGCTCCAGCTATTGTCTCCATTCGATGTGCTGTAGAAGTAGTCACTGAGATTTTGCTGGAAGATATTTGGGTGTATAATTGCAAACTGAGCAGTAGATGATTTTATGAAGCTTGTTAAGGAAATAATATTGCAGTCAAAATATCTAAACCTAAGGCTGTTTCTTTGAAAGTATGGCCCTCAGTGAGTTAACTTATTTCTATTTTGGTACGTAGTTGAGTGTTTAATAAATGTTTGAAATAAAAGGGAAAAGCAGAGTACTATGTAATGAAAAAGAGTCTAATACGCCTACAGAGAATAGTAATTTTTTAAGGTTAAACAATAAAACAGCCAAGACTTGTGGATCACAGATTACTTTCAGAAACAAGACATTCTACATTGGAGAACTGAAGAACCACAACAGCAGAGAACTTGTGAACATCACATTACTGGTTTTTAGAAATAAAAGGAAGTGTAAATTCCTGAATAAGAATGGATTTTGACAGAGGCCACAGCCTTAGAAAACATGGCTTTCACATGGAGGAAAACATAGTCTTCAGTGTTGCTGGGAGAACACTAGAGACTTAATTGGTTGGTATAGTAGACATTTAGTAGGCTTTCAGCATTGAAGGTAAATTAACCAAGTAAACCACAACTATGCCTCTTTTGGAAGGGGATCTTCTCCAATCTCAGTAAATTGAATCTGCAGCTTTTAAAATCTATCAACACCCAGTATGAGCTTTAGCACTAACATTTAAAGCAAGAGAAGTGATATGTCAGATAAGAGTACAGCCTTTGGTAAGACCCGAGTTCCAGTCTCAGCACTACTATGTGATATTGGGTAAAGTACTTAGCATCTGTAATTCTAAGTTTCCTTAGCCTATTATTATAGTAGTTAAAAATACAGGCACCAATGTCAGGATTCAAATGCCAACTCGTCACTTACTAGCAATGTCATCTTAAGGCTACTAAACACTCTGACTCAGTTTACTCATATAGAGGGAGAGAGATATTGAATGTCAACTCTAATTGAAAAAAAAAAAGAAATCTAATGCAAAAATAGAGTGTTAAGAATATGGTATATGTCATTTTAAGCCTCTTAAGAAAATGCATATAAAAATAAATGCATTTTATACTCATACAATAAATAAATAAATAAAATAAATAAATAAATAAAAATAGTCCCTTCATCACTGGATTGTTGACATTCAATGAACCCTGAATAAATGTTAGCTGTGTCGATTTTTGTGTCAGTAACCTCTAATTGAGAAATACTGAGTATATTTGCTACCTTCCAGAAATATACAATCTGGTTATAAAGCTTAGGCTAACACGTGAAAATAAAAGCAATATATATAGGGTCTGTATAAGTAGGTGTGAAAAAGTTGATTAGACAATAAAGTTTTATTGATTCAGTTATTTATTAAATGTCTACTATGCACCAGGCAAGCACTAAGCTGAGTACCAAGGATACAACAGTGAACCCTCCAAGGTCCTTGTTTTTAAGATTACAATCTTGTGATTGAATAGATAGTGGGAGACAGGCAAAACAACAGAGTGAAATAAATGCTACAGTAGAGATTAGTACTGGGGGCTGTGGGAGCTCAAGAATGGGCATATGACCTAGTTTTAGGAGGTCAGAAAAGGTTTATCAAAAAAAGTAAAAGATGAAGAGGAAAGGAGTTAGTGTTCTTGGCAGGTAAGACAATGTACAGAAGCCTGGAACTGTAGGCTATCACTGTGGCTAGTGGCACATTTAGGGTGGTGATTAAAATGAGGCCAAAAAAACAAAAACATGAAGTCAAAGAGGTAAGCATTTGCTGACCAGGTTATGGGGATTCCCTAGTGTAGACTTTATCCTGAAGTCCGTGAGGAGCCAGTAAAGAGTTTTAAGCACGAGAGTGACAAGAGTCAAACTTATGTTTTAGCAAGGTCACTTGGGCCACAGGGTAGAAGATTAGAGGAAGCCAAGACAGAAAGCCAGCAGACTAGCAAGGAGGCTGTTGCATGATCTAAGTAAGAGAGAAGAATGGACCTGGACCCAGAATTGAGTCAGGCCACCTGGGTTTGACTCCTGCTTTGCCACTTAATAACTATGTGACCTTATGCAAGTTACTTAACTCCAATTTTAACTGTTTAAATTGGAGATGACAGTAAAATTTACCTTAGAGGCTTATTGTGAAGATTGAAGCACTTAAAACACACCTGCCTGGCACACTGTAAGTGCTCCATAAATGTAGGCAATGAGGCTGAAGAGAAGCAGTCTAGGAAGAATAATCAAGATTCCTTAACTGAGGGGATGTCAGGAGCAAGTAGGAGGAGCTAAGGAAGTTCGTTTCTGGTTTGAGAGTTTAGGAGATGGTGGTTCAATTCACTGAGATAAGGAGGAAAAGCAGGTTTGGGGAAGGCTGAGAAGATGTAGCCAAAGATCGGTGAATTGCAACCAGGAGAATTAGAGAAGTTAAGAGGGTGGGGGGAAAGTGTTTCAGGAAGGAGAGAGTGGTCAGCATTGTTAAATGCTACATGGAAGGTCCAGTAAGATAACAGCTAAAAAGAACCCATTTGTTTTAACAAGAAGGCCATTGGTGACTGTCAGGAGGAATTTTGGTGGTGGTGATGTATGGATTAGGGAAGGAAAAGGAGATGATGAAGGGAGACTGTGAGAATTGAAGACTCCTTCAAGAAGTTTAGCCAAAAAGGACTGGAAGTAGCTGGAATGATTATGGGCAAGGCTGAAACTGGACCCAATAATAAACTGGTTTAGCCTACTGGTGGGTAGATTTCTGAGTGGCTGCGCATCCATTCTAATTGCTCAGTAGCCAGGGAGGTTAAGAAGTGGAGCTAACTTAGGGACAAGTAATGGAGTTGGCCTCACTGGTTTTGAATTTGACATAAGGGCAAGGTATTTATGCATGTAGAAATGCCCAGCAAGCAGTTTGATATAGGACTAGTGGTGGGCCAAGTGGACAGAAGTTAGAGTAAGACTCAGGTGAGTGGGGATGAGTTAAGAAGGTTCTAGAACAAAGGCAGGCTGTCAAGAAGGCACAATGGAGCCTTGTGTCTAGCCATAGCATTCGTGAGAGTGTGTGAACTCCATGAAGCTAGTTGCTGGTAGGGTGGGAAATGGGTCTCAAAGTGGTGATAAGAAACCAGGCCTCAAATCCAGACTTCATAGCTTATCAAGAGCATTTGCAATAAACAGGGGAGTTCAGAGATGGAGCCCCGGAGTTCTAAACTATTAGGGAGAAGCAGCAAGAAAGGAAAATCCTGGGTTTGGAGTTGTGGGTGATTGACTTTGGCCAGATGCTAGGCCTAGTCTAGGCAGTCACATGGCATGATAGGTTCTCTGGGTTAACCTTTGTCCTAATCTTTGCTATGTCTTCAAAATGTAAAAATGTTCATCTGTGTATTTCAGGTGTGCCAAGCCCTGAATGCGGTGTTTGACATGAATTACTTTTAATTTATCATACACAGTTGTAGTTAGCATTTTTATTTATGTAAACAATATGTAAATCAGATGTTTATCTGTTAAATATATCCTGGGTGGGGAAAAAACAAGGAAGTTGGGAAAATACCTCTGTTCCACCTTTAGAATCCTGGTATTTCATTCTACTACTACTGTTTATGCTTTCAGTCAGCAAACAGTTACTCAGCCTTTCTGAACCTATCTACCTTCTGTGTCAGGGTCTGCTTTTCCTTTTTATCATCTCATTTCTCTTCTGGCCATCTCTCCCATTCTGCACTGTCATGTGGATTATTCTCATTGAAACTTTTTTCACCCATCTTTTCTCATGGTTAGTTCCATTCCATCTCCTTTCAAGATATATCATTTAAAGAATTTGTATGTCAGGAAATACTAATAAACGTTATCATATATATTTTTCAGACTCTGTGATAGTCAAATGGAGAGAGAAGGAAAAAAGAATCCCACACAAGATCATGGAGTGATTGTGGCTGGAAAGAAATGCAAGGACAAAAGAAATCAACATCTTATCACTATGAAGCCCAGCCCTAAGATCTGACCGTTGCCCTTCTCACCCTCTGTGAAGTCCAGATAACAGAAGTGAGCAGTGTTATGGGAGGTATCACAAATGGACTCAGATTGGTCCCAGCATGGCAAGACCCTGAGTTCAATAATAGAAGGTTAAGTACCAGCTTCAAACACTCAGTGTGTTCTCTGAGTTCCCAATGATATTTCTACCTGGAGCTTTCTTCTATATTTACGTTAATGGCTCAGTTGGAAGTCAGCCATCACTGCTAAGCGTTCTTCAGTTTTTTGCAGTATTGCCGGCAGCTTCTTTATTATCCTGACATTAGAAATAAGAAATTCTGCCCCATTGCAGCCGGGTTGTTGCTGCTCAGGCAATGGTGGAACATTTCTACTTTCTAGGGTCTTGTCCTTTCCCACACTGAGTGGCCTAACCTTTTGTCACCTTCACAAGTCATCATATTTATGAGGAAGCCTTCCATTTCTAGAGTGGCTCGGCCATCAGCCAGAAACATGCTTTTGCTCTGAGTTACTGATCTCTTAGATATAGGAGGAAAATCTCCAATAAACATTAAATTGTTAATATATATAAAGCATTTAGAAGAGTGCCTCATACATATTAAGAACTTCTGCTATTATTGTTGTTGTTGTTACTGCCACCATCTAGGATCAGAAGCTAGAGCCTAGCCAACCCTCTGATGTTGCTCTTATTATGCTGGTTAAACAAATCCAAATTATCTGGAAATAGGGTTGAAAATATTTGGTTTCCTCTCAATTTTGTGACCATCATCAGCTCAACGAATCTTACAAAGGTCAAAGTGTTGTCACTTTAATATTTTTACTTGTTAGAGCTTTGATATTCCCTCTCTGGATTCCTAAGAGACTCTAGTCCTGACTTGACAGGGGATGGATAATCCAGCAATCTCAGCATAGGATAATGTATATTTTGTCCATCCATGAGTGTTTACCAAACAACTTAACATGGGACAGCTATAAACATTATAGCTAACATTTAATGAATATTTAGTATGTACCAGATACTGTTCTAAATGCTTTTATACATAGTATCTCATCTATTTTTCATACAAACCCTATGTATAAGCACTATTATTATTATTTTGTAAATGAAGAAACATTCATAAAGAGGTTAAGTAATTTATCTAAAGCCACAAAGATAATACATGGAAGAGCCAGGATATGTACTTAGGCAGTCCAATCCCATAGCCTGTGCTAATAACCACTTCACTGTACTGACAGAGAGAACTCTGGATTTGAGAGGCAGAAGTCTAATTCTGATCTAACCCCTCCACTTCTTCACTTAAATTGAATGATCTTAAGAAAGTTACCCAACCTTTCTGAACCTGTCTAGGCATCTGTAAAATGGGGATGGTAATTAATATATAGTTCATAGGATGGTTGTGAAGCTTGTTATGTGCCTTGCACTTATTAGGCATTCAGTAAATGTTAGTTTCTTTTCTTCCTACTCTATTCTAAGCATTACACTGGTGGGCAAGATGGAATAGGAAAGCTGTATCTCCTTGGGGACCTAGTGTGGGGTGGAAAGGGAAGAGGGAAGAAGATGACAAACATGGGACCAAACCATTATAATATAGTATAAGAAATGCCACTGTAGAGGAGCATACAGTTGAGAGGTTTGGAGAAAATAACATTTTCTGAGATGGGGCAGGGAGAAGTTGGAGAACTTTCAAGGTGCCAGTGACGTTTGTTTTGGATATTGAAAGACAAAATAGGATTGGATGAGGTAGACAGAGGGCACAAGTTTGCAGGCAGAGCACAGGTGCTGAAGTATTGAAGAGCTTGGCAGTCTGTTCAGGTAATGCCTAGAGGTGTGGTATGCAGTTGAGGATTGAGGATGAGACAGGAACTGATGGAGACGAATGAGTTGCAAGGAGAGGGGCACATGAGCCTTCAAATGTCAGTATGTCCCTGCACCATTAAGACTTAGACACATTTACAAACGAAACGTAATGAACTTAAGTAAATTTAGTAACAAAAAAAACTTATGAATGCTCTATTTTTTATTGAGCTATAATTCACATACCATAAGATTTACCATTTTACAGTGTACAAATCAGCAGTTTTTAGTATATTCACAAAATTGTGCAACCATCACCACTATCTAATTTTAGAACATTTTCATCACCTCAAAAAAACCCCTAACACCTATTAGCCGTTACTCCCCATCCTCTAGCAACCCTTGATCTACTTACTTTCTGTTTCTATGAATTTAGAGATTTTGGACATTGATATTTTCATATCAATGGAGTCATACAACATTTGACTTTTTGTGTCTGGCTTCTTTTATTGTGCACAATGTTTTCAAGATTCATCTGTTATAGCACGTATCAGTATTTCATTCCTTTGTATAACTGAATAATATCCCTTTGCATGGTTATACTACATTCGTTTATCCATTCATCAGTTCGTGGACATTTGGGTTATTTCCACTTTTTGGCTATTATGAATAATGCTACTATGAACATTCACATACAAGTTTTTGTTTGATACCGTTTTAAGTTCTTTTGGGTACATACCTAGGAGTGGAATTTCTGGGCAATGATGTGTTTAACTTTTTGAGGAACTGCCAAACTGTTTTCCATTGTGACTGATTTTTACTGTTCTAGATAGCCTTATTGGCACTGTTTCTTCTGAACCCAGACTCATTATCTAAGCCCCACACGCTGGATGTCAGGGGATGATGGCTGCCGCTTTTAGTTCATCCTCACTGAAACTCGGACTTTTCCCATCTACCTCAGCTCAGACCCAATACCTCCTGCCAGTTGTGAATTAAACTTCTGGGATAGAAGGCCTGCTAAGAAAACCTCTTTCTTGAGCCAGAGCTTTCCTAAGGTCAGGAGTGGTCCAGCCTTACCATCTGCTCTGTGCTTTTTTGTAAATTACTATCCCTGAGATGTCTTTGATGAGGAGACACATGGGGAAGAACCTGTATTTTGCACTTCTCTCATGTTGCCAAAACTAGCATTTACCAGTGCTATTTCCATATGTAATACGTCCCTGTCTTTAGAAAGGAGGAATTCACAGAGATTATGGGACTTGCCCAGTGACCTCACAGTGCTACTAGGAACAGAATGCACTGTCCACTATCATAGATTCCCATATCATCATTAACAAACACTCCTTCCCTATTGGGCAACAGAAGGTAGAACTTACATCTCAGTATTTCCTCCAAGAGAGGTTTTTAGTTTCTTCTTACCTGCTCTTATGAATGATACGGATCAGGAACCCCAGCAAAATAACTTGCATACACTGTGACTCCCTAAAGAATCAAGATCATAGGCTCTGGCAACAGATCTGTGAGAGGAAGGGACAGGAAAGAAAATGTCTGCAGTTTCCATGCATTCTGAACTCTAGGAATTTTAGATGAGTAGAGATGCTCAGTTTTCTCCTACAACAAATAGGATATTTTCTGTGAAACTTGACTGTAGTGGTTATTGACCAAGTAGACTTTTCCTATGGGAATTTTCAAACATGTACAAAAGTAGAGAGAATAATATAATGAATTACCAGGTACCTGTCACCCAACTTGTGGTTTCATCAACATATGGCCAATCTTGTTTCATCTCTACTCCCATTCACTTCCTCTCCCCACTAGATTATTTTGATCCGAAATCGGTATATTGACCAAATTTTCAGTTTCTACTTGTTCTCGAAGCTATTTCCCTTAGATATAGGGACGTGTGCTCTCATTTAGAATGCTTTTAGCAGTTTTTTTGAGCATGACATTCTATCTATCTATCTATCTATCTATCTATCTATCTATCTATCTATCTATTTATTTATTAAATTTTTTACACCTACAGTGCCTGGTCTTCCTAGGTGGTCTCCCATCCAAGTACTAACCAGGCCCGACCCTGCTTAGCTTCTGAGATCAGACGGGATAGGGCTTGTTCAGGGTAGCATGACTGTAGATGACATTCTTTTTCTGACAGTTTTCTTTTTGTTTTTGTTTCGTTTTGGTAGAATCACAGGAATTTTCTGGACTCGAACTCTATTTTTTTCCTCTCTCACTCCCAGAGTCCATGAACCTGTCATTCATCTTCACTTTGATCCAAGTGCCTAGACCCCCACTCACCAATTCTCCCAGTTTGTCAGCTCTAATGTATGAGGTTAAGGACTCTTAACAGTCTTTTCGAGTACTCTATATGTAGTGTCTAGCCTGGTATGTAGCAGGTGCTTAATACTTAGTTGTTAATGACTGGATGGATGGATTCCACTTGGCTTTCCACTCACCAGAACCTCACAATCAGTTATTTTAACTGTGCACTTGATTCTGTGTATCTTAAATGAGGAGAGAGTTACCTGAGCCTCTTGAGAAGTAGCTTTTATCCTTCCTTGACACTTTTGTCTAGCTGAAGAATCTGAATTTTTCTGGCTCCCCCTGCTGGTGGTCCCTCTTGGGCAGTTGCATATAGGTGCATCTGGTGACAAAGAATTGGAGCCAAGAGTCAAGTTCTGCTAAAGGAATATAGAACATTGCTGTGGAGTGCCCTAGCCAGTCCAGGCAGATCTGAGGAGGAAGAGAGCAGCTTGTTGAGAACAGTTCAGGGACGTGTAGCTTTCTGTGTAAGAGTCAGGATATAAAGTGGCCCACTGCTGGCTCAAGTCAGCTCTGAAGCGCTGGATGACTATGAATATCGTGATCATATGGGTACATAAATGAGCTAGTCATTATGTGGGGATCAGATTTATATTGAGAATAGAGATGGGCTGCTTCTCCCCTTAAGACAGAACAGTCTGGAGTCAAACATAGTCTCCATGCAGACAGTGGCTACAGTTTTATTTTGACCCCCTGTGAAAGTTGAAGCAAGGAGGGTGGTGAAAGTAGATGAGAGTGTCCCCAGAGTTCATGGTCCTATGTTGTATACGTGACCCCGCCTCCCAGCTCTTGAGACCAGTAACAACTTTGTGAATCCTTGGGTGGATGTTTTGCTGGGGCCTCCTCCTTCCACCTTCTGTAAATACTATAAATTCCCCACCTACCCAACCCCTAGATCACATTTCTGGTTGTCCACACGTATTTGTCTTTTCTATAACACAACTTCCCAGAAAATGGGCTGTGGCAGAATGAATCTGGCTAGAGTCCAGCCGCCTATAGGCATTAGGAAATATGGTTGGACACTAAAGGCAGATCCCCTCCTCTTCTCTCAAACCTCAAACCCCAAGTATAGGGTATTTCCACTTAAAGTTGAACATGGAAAACAGGCTTGTGTTCCCCTTCAGGACACAGAGGTAAGCATGTGACTTTCCCCAGTACACGGAAGGGGACCCACAGAGAGGCTTTTCAAATGTAAGTTAGTTCAACTTACTTTTGGCTCCAAACCCTCCAATGGCTTTCCATCTTACTCAAAGTGAGCCTGTGTCCTGAAGGAGAACACAAGCCTGTTTTCCATGTTCCAGAAGAATCCCAGGGCATGAAAATTATCATTGGACTTAGGCAGGTGTAATTATGAAATGGTCATTATAAAGAAGTGTTTGGAAGGAATTCGTTTCTGTATTGTATGCTAAGGATGTAGCAGTGGGTGAAGTCCTGCATTCCAACAGGGGAAGGCAGATCATAAATAAATATATAATATATACTAAAAAGGAAGAAAAACAGGGAAAAGGGATAGGGCAGGAGTGCATTGTTTTAGGTTTGGTGGTCAGGGAAAACAACTCTGTCGAGGTGAGGGAGCAAGCCCTGTGACAATCTGGAGAAAGAGTATTCCAGGCAGAGGGACTAGAAAGTGCAAAGGCCCTGAGGCAGGAGAATGCTTGGCTTTTGAAAGAAAAAGGGAAGAGACCAGTGTGGCTGGAGCTGAAGGAGGGAGGGAGAAAGTAGTAGGAGTAAGGACAGAGAGGGAATGGGGGGCCATATCATATGGGGCCTTGTCCACTTTGGCAAGGGCGTTCGGCTCACTTTGAGTAAGATGGAAAGCCATTGGAGGGTTTGGAGCCAAAAGTAACTTGAACTAACTTACATTTGAAAAGCCTCACTGTGGCTGCAGTGTGGAGACTGATTACAGGGAGGCAAAGACGGAGAAGGGAGACCAGTTGGCGAATGGTTGCCGAAGAGAGGCGATGTGGCTTGGATGAGGTAGATACAGTTTAAACGTACAGCCAGCAGGGTCTGCTGATGGATCGAATGTTGGGTATGAGAGAAGGAGAGGGCCAAGGCTTATGCCTGCGTCACGGAAAGAAGGGAGTTGCCCCTTCCAAGATGGGGAAGATTGGGAGAAGAGCAGATCTAAGGGAAAATTCACCAGTTCTCTTTAAAGCTATTAAGTGAAATACTTATTTGATCTGCAAGTGGAGGTTTCCACATCAAATAATAGTAGACATTTCAAATAATATGCTCCTCAAAAGAATAATAGCCAATAATATTTACATAGTGTTTTATAGTTGACAGTGTTCCTGCATGTTATTTTACTCTGTTCTTACATTACCCACATAAGGAAGTTCATTTTCTTTTCATTTTAAAGATAAGGAAGCTGAGATTTGGAAAAGTTTGAACAAAAAAGCCATTTTTTAGATGCTGCCACACAGAGGAAGACAAAAGCCAGTTAGTCTTGAAGAGCAGCAGCCAACCAACAGAGAGAAGGCCGCTTTCCCAAGGCTGTCAGGTTGGAAGACTTATGCCTCCCCAGCCCTCTTCCCAGCCCTGTTGCAGAGAGGAACCGTGGGGAAGCGGTGGAGGATGCACCATGTTCCCCCACCCGCCACTCAAACCGCCACCGCTGGGGCCAAGTCTAGCTTCCCTGGGAAGAAGTAGGGCAAGAGCTTTGAACAGAAGCTTGAGAAGGACATTTTAAAATGAATATTTTTATTTGTGTAAACATTTAAAATGAATCTTAAATATCAGAAGGAGACTATTCTGATTCCTAAAAGTAGATGAGAATCTATGGCATCCAATATTAAGCAGTGAGAAAAGGAGATTTGACACGGTATCGCTGAGGGCAGCTGTTGAACAAGATCAAAAAATCTTCATGTGTATAGAGGTGGAGACGCCCCAATAAATCAGTTGCGACTGCATTTCCTTCCAGTCTTTTTTCCATGCATCTTTTTTAATATTGCTCAGATCTTACCACCTGGGCAATTTTGATTTTTCATAACCTGCTGTTTTCTCATAACCACTTTTAATATAAACATTTCCCCCAATGGTATTAAACATTTTTTTGTAATCGTCATTTTCAAATGGCTGTATATTAACCATCTTTGTGCATTAAGCTTTTTAGGATTACTTTGTTAGATAGCTCTCTATAAGTAGAATTATTGGTTTAAGGGATATGAGCATTTTTAGACTCTTGATAAATTCTAACAAATTATATTCGGAAAAAGTTCTGCCATCAGTATAGTAAAGTAGAGTGAGCCTTGGAACTAAGACCATCTGACTCTAAACCTCG